ACAGATTGCTTGGGTGCGTGACTGTTTTCTATAAACACTCCCCGTTAGTCATCCCTGGTGTAGCTAAGAGCACGTGTTACTGTAGCAACACTTCTAAAAGGTGTCGTGGCCCAACTTGACCCAGCGCTGCCCAACACCTGGTCTCTCCCTGGGTGTCCCTGTTCGTCAGCAGGCGCATCACGGCGTGGTGGAGACGCGTTGTCATCTGGGTAAAACGCATCCTCAGCTCCTGCACTGTGCTGCCCCGCTGCTCTGCATGAAACGGCTGGGCAAGAAACACCTTCTCTTCCCAGGCAGCGTGCATGCACTGTTTCCCTGGCTTGCTGTTACCTGTTGTTGTAGCACTTCAAAAGCAATGCCTGTAGGTGAGGATTGTAAACTGCTGTTATGTGGGTGATGGGCGTGCAGGGCCTTAACGTAAGAAGTGGAAGTGGTTGGCAGCTCTCTTATTCCACCCTGCAAAAGCATCCAAAGTTTAAACCTTTGGGGGAAAGGAATTATTTTCTGAGCAGCCTCCTTGTCTTCCAGGTAAAAGTTCATGTTTCAAATCATTTGAAGCCTGAGCATCTAAGATTATTATTCAGGACCACCTGCCTCATGAGTAAAACTGATGCCTTACATCTTCAGAATCAACACCACCAAAAAACAAATTAAAGAGGCAGCCAAAGAAGGTGGGGACAGTATAGCTTTCAAAAGAAGGATCAATGAAAACATATGTTTCTGGAAGTATTGATGCAATCTGCAAACCATCCATTTGGAATTGCCTCCCTGTCTGAAGGGGCACAAGGAACACCAGATCTTCAAACAGCTTGGAGAGGAGGTGAGGAACAGGAAAAATGGAAGGCAATGAGTGAGGAAAGTGTAGCCTGAAATCAGTAAGAAGTGAATCTCTTAGAATTCTTTAAGCAGTAAAAACCTATGGTTCAAGGACATGATGAAATATCTTTGTTACCAAAACTGAACACCTAGTGGAAGAGCTGTCAGTAGTGGTCAAGTGGAAGAAGTCAGGGATGTCATTGTGATATTCGGTGTGGAAAAGCTTCTCAACATCTACTTTGGGGGAAAAAAACCCCAAATCCTTTGCAATAAAAAAGAGGAATTGTGCTCAGGAATGGACTGGAAACATGGGCCTGTGCACGGCAGGGGAAAATCTCTGATGTCCTGTGTGTGTAGGAGGAAATACTCTTAGTATGATGTCTGGTGTGTTGAGGGGAGCTAGAGTTGTTAAAAGCTTGGAATAAAGTAGAGAGCGCGCTACTGTTGTAATCCCAATTGCTATTCGGAATGCCTGTAATGAAATATATGATGTTGGCCAAAACACATGTGCTTTCTAAAGTAAATAGCATTACAATATTTCTCTTCTGTTGTACAGAGAAAAACCAGTGTACCAATTGTTTGAAAATTTGATAGGAGATAGAGCTTTGAACAGCTGTGCTTGGGAAAAGCATGAACTGCCTTGTAGCAAAACTGGCCTATAAACAGGGTTGATTTAGAAAATTCCAGGAAGAGCAAAGGCGGCTAAAACTGATTATTTGCCCAAATAGAAATGGCTGTTCCTGGAAACCAGTCTCCTCAACTGAAATATCACTTGGGCCAAATGTTGAGGTCATTGGATACTACGGAGTTACCTTGCAAGTCATGGGCTGAGGATGCCAAAGTGCAAGCAGTTGGATTATGTTAATGTTCTGCTGCTGCCCTGTTGATAGTGCTGATTTAAGAATGTGCTTTTATAAGACATAATTCATGGTATAGTAACATGTTTAAGGGTAGGCAAATATTGATTAATCAACAGCTTCCTTCCTTTCTGTGTTAACTAGTTAATCGTGATGTAGAACAATCTTGCTTGTTCAGTAAGCAGGAAAATTTTTTTTCAGTACGTTTTGTGCGTGCAAGTAAAATTCATCTGTTTCAGGTAATTAGCACTGCATTAGCACAACATGGCAACTGGTGTTTAAACACAAGGTAATTAACTGTACAGTGTAAACATAGTGTGCTAAAGAACTAACTAAAACCATGAATTTCTAGCTGATTGAAAAGAATGTACTAGAAATGTTATTTGGGGGCTTGAGGGGGCAGTTAATATTTTTCTCCTGTGTTGCTAGATTATTGATACACAATGCCGAATGGGCATAAGAGAAAGGGTCGGACATTCTAGGCTGATGCCAACAGCATCGTGTGCAAGTGCAGCTCTTTTGTGGTTTCTTTGTTGCATTTTTGGTTTTTCCTTCCTTAGTGTATAGTGTTGCAATGGCTGAATGACCTGGAAAATGTGTAGGGTTTTTTGTACTTTTAAATCTTGGTTTGCTAGTCTTGCAGTTTCTCAAATGGCACAAAAGGTTAGAGATGTGTGATAGCTGATGGTCCAGGACTAGGGAAATGGAAATAGAGTTGCATACATACCTTGTCCCGTAGTAGGTGTGGTTTTTTTCTCTCCAAAATAAATTTGGGTGCATTTGTCTAAAAAATTGGGAAGTTCGCAGTTTGAACTATGTGAAATGGAACCGTGTCTGTAGGAAGCATGGATTCCATATGCTGCTGGTTTCCGAGTGCACTAATCCACCAGGGAAATGAAAGACTAAGTTTCTTACCAACTGTAACGCTCGCCAAGTTTTATGTACATATGACTGATAAATGCATATCTAAACTTCTGAATAACTGAGAGTTCTTACTGCTGGGGTAAATAACTACTTGACGTACAGACGTGGCAGGAAAGTTAACAATCTGCTGAGTCCTAAGTGGGCTGCAGGTTACACTTCCATCACTGAGAGCGAGTTCTCCATTTAATACTTGTGCTTTGATATGTCAGATGGATTTTGGGGAGGACAGAAGAAAACTATTCCGTGATAAAAGCTGAAGCCAGAACCTGATCTTGAGGTAGAATTTTGTCTCGTAAGCGGTTTGTCAGAAAAATGGTTAGGTGTCAAGTGAAAGCTTGACTAGGTTCTGAAAGCTTATTTTGGTTCCTTGAATCCAAACTGGTTCCCTGATGTATACAGCAGAACTGGGACTGAAAACGGAAATTAAAGTGGAGGCTTTGCATGAAGAAGAATAGAGTCCAGCTCTTCTGTACAACCTGATTAGGAAGCACACGTATGCTAGAAGAAGCAAGGAATAAACTAGTCAACAATTTAGGAGCCATAAAATGGACAGCTATAGTGGGTAGCAAGTTGTGGGCAGTTACTCGCTTCCGTTCCAACATTACGGGTTAAGCTGGGTAACAAAAGAACTGCTGTTTTAAAACATTTAGCCCAGTTCACTTTACTGACAGGCTAAAAAATGAACAGCTCCATTTACAAGTGTAAAGTGCTGCAACCTTTAGTGGGAAGATGATGACAAACAGGTGGCACTGGCTTGCTGGATGATACAATCTGATAGCACAACTGTTGGTGAAGTGCACATTTCACCACCACCACATAATCATTCTTCTGAACTGCTCTCTAAACATCAGCAAAGGCCTCTCATTAATTCAGCTTGACAGCTCGATTACAGCATTTTAACACCTTCTGAAAAATAATTCAGTTACTGAAGTGGTAAACTTGCTGCCTTGACAATGAAGATAAAGTGCTGCCTCGCAGCCGGAAAGGCATGGCTAATCTTGTAATTCCTGCTCTATCTTTGTGTATGGTCACCAGTGCCTTGGTTTAAATGTGTGATACTTCCTCTCTCTCTTATTCTAAGTCCACTTTCATGGGTCAGTAGAATGCTTGAAATGGCACGTAGATGTAATTGATGTAAAAAGCAGGTGTGTTAATGTAGCTATCGTATAAGCAGCCTGTGTGCACGGAACTGATCAGAGATCAGTATTTTCAAAAAGTACCATTGCTATACCAGAGAGAACAGTTGCCTCTACTGAAGTGTCCTTACACATTCTTACAGCAAAACTGCTAGCAGTAATAAATTCTTTGCCTGGGTATATACATTATCTGAGGTAGGTCTCAAACGTGGCTGTATCTGTGAAGTCTGATTCATGTCTTTTTGACAACTGTTAGTTTATACTGTCCATTGTTGAAGTCTTCGGAGCTACTTCATCTTGCTGTACTGGAGTTCTGCTAAAATATGTTTGTAACGGCTGTCTAGTCCTGGAATTCAGGAGGATATTAAAATGAAGTTCTGTCCATTTATCCTCTGTTTTTTGCCGGCAATTATTGGACTATTGTTTATCCTGATCATTTGTCCATACCTTGCAAAGCCTGGAAAAACAAAGACTACATGAAGACTTTTGCATATTTCTGACCTTGCTTTGAGTTTCAAACTTTGGTTTATTTAAAAGAGAGAAGAAAGCATGAATTACTGTATGTAGAAGGACCTGAGAGTTAGGAGTGGAGAATTTCAATGTGCTGGGGTGGGATGGGGCTTCTGGAACTCAGAAGGGCTTCTAGTGGGGAAAATAGGAAGGTGGCTTATCAGAGATGAACTATAATTTCAGAACACTTGAAGGTAATTTCAACAGCACAGCACTTCTTAATATTGCCATTTTGTGCTATGTGGAAACATGTTACCTAGCAAACTAACCTAGATCTGTAATTTTGAGCATACATATCTTCTGCTTGGTTTTTGTTGTTGTTGTTTTTCTATTTAGTTGGTTGTTTTTTCTATTTCTGTTGTGTCAGATTCTTCCTTAAAGATCATCTGAGAGGGTTTGGTAATGCTCTCCACTCCTATCCATGATTGCTAATTGTTCTAAGCATGTTTTTCTCCTTGCCTTTGAATCTGTTCTTGCGTTCAATGATACTAAAAATGATCATAAGCAGATGTGAAGGGTGTATTAACTAAAATATAGATACATCTTATGCAACGAAATACATCTACAGTCAATTTCTTTAGTAACAGACAGCTTTAAATCCAGTGAGATGAAGAGCATCCAGAGCATTTTAATTTTCAACTGACTGACCTGTTGCGTATAACCTGTCTCTTGTGTTTGGCTTAACGCTTGAAAATAAGGGTGTTTGAAGGGAAGAAAAATGCATTTAACATAGTATTACGTTTTCTTCACAGACTCTGACACATCTCTGGGACCTGCAATGACAAGTCAGAACAGTAGCCATGCAGAGAAAACTGGTGAAATGTCCTCAAAGCAGTCAGCACCAAAAGTGCAGGTCCAACGATCTGTCTCCCGAGAAACCATCACTATTCATTTCTCTGCATTTGGGAAGGAGGAAGAAGAGGAGGAAGAGGAGTTTAAGGAATTTCTTGATGAGGAACTAGATGACCAAAGCATTGTAACAGCACTTGAAGCCAAGGAAGACCTCTGCTTTGAGCATACCGGCCATGATTTTTCTGGTCCAGCTACCTCGCTTAATATGGCCAACTCCGCATCGCTACTGTCCTCGTCATCTGCAGTTCTGCCAACTGCAGAAACTGTAAAGCTCTTGGATTCTCCTTCCACATCCCAAGTATTCAGTGCAGTGCCACTAGTGCTGTCTCCATCATCATTCTCATGTCATACAGTTAGCTTATCAGGTGCACCACCACCTGTGGAACAGAAATCCAGCCTGTCGTCTTCCCCATCCTCATCGCCTTCCAGATCAGTTGCCAGCTCTAGTGGATCATCCACAGTTTCTAGTTCAAAGCCTTTTAAGGGTTTAGTTAAGTCCCTTTCAACAGATGTGGAACCAAAAGAACCCACCCCACCGATGCGACATAGACAGTTAATGAAAACGTTAGTGAAATCTCTGTCTACAGACACTTCTAAACAAGAATCTGAAGCTGTGTCTTACAGGCCACCCGACTCAAAGCTGAACTTGCATCTGTTCAAACAGTTCACTCAACCTCGAGCTACGGGTGGTGATTCTAAAACTGCCCCCTCATCTCCATTAACATCTCCCTCTGACACTCGTTCTTTTTTTAAAGTACCTGAAATGGAGGCTAAAATTGAAGATACTAAAAGACGCCTTTCTGAAGTAATCTATGAGCCTTTTCAGCTGCTCAGTAAAATAATGGGTGATGAAAGTAGTAGCCACCGGCCCAAAGCCTTATCTTCAAGTGCTTCAGAACTCTCAAACCTTTCCAGTTTGAATGGCCATTTGGAAAGCAATAACAACTACAGCATTAAGGAAGAAGAATGTGATTCTGAAGGGGACTTCTATGGAAGTGACTCTAACCTGAATCAAAATGATCAGTCAAAAGCGGTGGAGGAACACGCAAAAGAGACAGAGACCAAAAGCTCTCAGTCTGCAAGCACAAAGGACGTGAGTTCGAAAACTTCACTCGTACTTGAAAAATGTTCATTGTCTGCACTAGCAAGCAGAGAGGATGAGGAGTTTTGTGAACTGTATTCTGAAGACTTTTCCTTGCTAGAGGATGAAAGCAAAAATGATAAACCTACTGAAACTTTGCTTGATCCAGAGATGACTGAGGAAAATGGTACTGTGCTCAGTAGTGAAGATGAAAATAATCCATATGTGCAACAGCCTAAAGTACCAGTGAAAACTTTATACTTCTTAACACTGTTAGTCTATGCTTACTTTATTATCCCTCTACCTGGCTACTTAAGTGGACTCTTACTTGGAATGGCCCTTGGATTTATGATAGCTGTCTGTGTGATTTGGCTTCTTACTCCACGTACTCATGAATATCTCAAATTGCATAAAAGTATGAAAAAGAGATGGAATACAGGAGCTCTAGACATCAAAGAACCTGAAATACTGAAGGTGAGGTCACGGCATGTTGTGTGTGTCCGCATTATTTTGGGTAGAAATAGTAAACTAGATCTATTCTGAAGGTGTAAAAGCTGAATTATCCCCATTTGTAAATAGAGTATTAGGATCAGGTGGCTTTGGCAGGAGCACAAACTCTTTAGTATCCAAGAATATGTAAGACTTCAGTGTCCTTAAGGATTAGTAGAAAAACAGAATTCCTTCAAAAGTAAAAGGGGCAAATGGTTTTGCTGATGGATTTTAAATGATGCAGCTGAACTACTCAGAGCAAGTAATGTCAGAGTTTAGTATGTAAAGTAACATTTGTTTTTGAAGCTGCATCTCGAGATGTATTTTGTTTCTGGAGTATTTTACTGTGTAGGCAGTAATTTGTCTGTCTTTGTTCAAGCTAAGCAGATTCAAAAGCGTTGTGTTCAAGTAAACCATAGACAGTTGGGGAGCATATGGATTCTCCTCAAACATTAGTTAATTAGAATGGGAGGAGGAATGAGTGATGAAAGGGATGTACTCATGGGTTATGATGTCTGGTTCTGTGTGCTGCTATCTTGAATATTGTATGGTATAATATGGATTAAAGTTAAGTAAAATGTGTGCCCGACAGCTGGGTTTTAAATGAAGCTCTTAGAAAATGTATCCTCCCTCCTCTCTGCCCTTCCCCATCTCCACTTCTGGTTCACAACTGCAAGTTGCTGTTGCTTCAGTAGATCTGGCACATTGCTGTCTGTCCAGTTGTGATCCATACAACCACTCAGTTTTCAGTGGCTTTGTGCTTCTTTGTCCCTGTCCTGCTTCTCCTGATCTCCCTCTGATGAATTAAAATGATATTTTTCCCAATTGCAGAATTCTGAACAATAAAGCATCTACTGGTTTCTGATGTGCAATAGAAGCATTTCAGAATGATAGTGGTACAACCCTCCCTTGATTCACTTGCTTATCAGAGTATTTGTGTAAATATTAAATCCATCCTGGGCTTTCTGAAGGTGCATCTCCAAGATGTGTGACAACACAAAGGTTGCATGAATTTAGGTAACTGAAAAATTGGAGAAATGGGGTATAATTGCCCATATACTGAATACAGGCAGCAATTGCATGCCCAGCCCTGGTGCTGCCTTGATGTTCCCTGTTTTTCTTGATTTTTGGGAGTTGTGGTCTTTATTTGCTGTTGTGAATGCAGACTGAACACTCCTGTCTCCCCAGTTGATTTACCTGCTGCCTGCATGTACAAATCTTGACAAACTTTCACTTCTGTCCTTGTTAATTGGGTGCTGAGACCCAGCATATAAATTTGCCTTGATACTTCAAAGCTGGTAAAGATCCTGATATTCATTGTTGGCTGGTGTTAAGCTGGCTCTTTGAGATGTTAGCTGTTATTCAGGAATCTTTAAACTGTATTTTGGTAACTTTTATCCAGGAGAGATATTACATGAGAATGGCTGTAGGCAAGAAATGAACTGTGCAGAGAAATCAGTATGAATGTAGATTAATGTTTTCTATGACTTGATAAGTATTTCTTGCACTCATTAACACACAAAGTAATTGTTCTTAATACGTAAAGCCCTATAAAAAGGCTTTTTAATGCTTCAGGAGTTAAAAACCAGCTCAGTGCCCATATTGTAGTGAAATAGTGTCATGTGATTTAGCAGATTGCAAGTTGTTATTCCCCCCTTACACAACTGTTTTCTATTTGCCTCTGTCAAAATGAACACTGTACAGTTTAGATCCTCTGAAAAATGAGATAAAGATTTAATCTGTGACAAAACCCATGTGAATATAGGAAATTAAACTTGATGCTCTTGCATAAAGACGTTCTCTTCAGGACTTGTTGGTCTCGTATTCTGGCCTGAACTGCTTTCATGCCATTACGATAATGCTATGAGTAAGATCCCTTTATGGGGCTCTAGGAGCAGGGATTCTGCCAAACTGCTATCATCAGGCTATTTTTGTACAAGTACATGTGCATTCTCCCCCACGTAAACATTGTCTAAGAAGTGCACATTTCCCTGGTTTCAAGAACTAGTGGAAAATTCCCCTCAGCAATTGCTGAAATTCCTGAACATTAGTATTGTCTCCCCCAAAATTGTTCCTTTGCAGTGTGAAAGAATAAAATGCTGTTGTGCTGGTTAGTGTGTGCTTCTGTAGATTTCTGTGCTTATTTCACTTAAACGCCCTTGGTATTCGAGGGAGAACACCACTCCCCCAACCAGACAGTGCACACAAACCCCCTGCGTCTTGGCTATATGTTTTCTTATCTTCTCATTCCCTTAGCCTTCAGTTTGCTAGCTTCCTTTTCCTTTTTCCCTCTGCCCACGTTTTTATTTTTTCCCTGCTTTAATGCATTAGTCTTTTCTAACTTCCTTATTGGCCTTCTGAAGTGTGCATTCCCTTGTGTGGTGCCGGCTGATACAAAAGGTTTTAAGTAACAGCTAAAATGGAAATGATAAATTTGCCCTTTCCATTAGAACTTTTATGAGAAGGCCATGTGGGCAGTGCCGGCTGGAGAAGTGAAGCTTTTTGAACCACAGCTGTACAGGAGGAGGAGGCTTTTTACCAGCATGCTGTTCCTGAGTATTAGTGACGGGATTTCGTGTTTGATAGTGGCCTCTGGCAGACAAATGTGTGTTCCAGTTAAGGTGACGGTTACTTCTGTCCACCTTAAACCTTTTATTAGATCCTCTTTACATTCCCTGTCAATAAAAGCTCAAAAACCTTTGAGTTACATTTTTCCTCGTTTATCAAGCAAAATACTACTGAAGTATTACAAAATAGTGGTAATGAGAGGGATTCCCTAATTCGATTAGTGTGATTGGAGTGATCAACAGTCTTTCAAGAATTTCAGTGCTGGAGCATTTGGTTATATAATATAATGATAATGGCTACTAAGCAATCTGTTGATTTGCTGATCCTTTTGTTTATGTGTTTGAAAATATCTTAGAAGTAATGATTTTTATTTATTTTATTTATTTTTACCTGCAGACCTGGTCTGAGCCCCCAGCCCTCAGGGTCTTTCATAAGCATCTTTTGCAGTTCCCCCCATCTCTCCTCTCAGATTAAGGCATAACATGCCTGCGATCTTAAACTAAGTAACATTAAAACCTTGCCACTCCTCTGCAGTTCATACTTGCATGAATTATTCTGTTGAACTTGCAGTTCGAATAAAAAATTTGCAGCCCAGAGTCACAAAAGAGGAAAAGTAAACTGGGGTGGGCCTTTAAAAGTCCTTTTATGCAAGTGCTTGCGTTGCGCAGACCCGTGCGTTCCCCAGCGGGCCGGTTTAGGTGATAGTGCTGCTGTGACAGAGGTGACATGCTGCACCCCAAAAGCCAGAAGTTCAGCCTCTGCTGTCTAACAGACAGGCCAGATCCTGGCAGCGCATGTGTGGGCTTTTGAATAGTAACTGTGACCTTTGCTGTAAAAGCTGTGCTGCCCGATATTCAAACCAGCTACATTTTCAGGTTAGTTACCAAGCTGGGGGTGAGGCACTGTCTCCTAATTTCAGCTGTGAATTCAGAGCAACCGCTGACCTTTATAAATGGAGATCACAGGATCGGCATAAATGGCAAGCAGCTGCAGCGTAGCATATGACTATGGTCATTGTCCTCCCTGAATTACTACATTTCTTATTTTAACAACTTTGCTAGTACAAAAAAGACCCATCATACAGTCGCTCCTCTCTTACACAAGGAAATCCATTGTTGTTTCAGTAGTTTGGGAAAATTCATCTGTTGCTAGCACATTATGGTAACGTAACTTCTCTGTTTAGGTGCATTGCAAAATGGTTTCCATAGGCTGTGGATCTTCTGTTCCAGTTTGGTTTTGCAAAGAGAGGGTGGAGGTATTTCCGCTAAAATTGTTCTTAAAATGCAGGAACTTTGGAATTGATTTTGGGGTTTCTTGGATAACCTTCTCAAAAATGTTTTTTATGCTAGATGAAATGATTTACAAAAATGAAAATTGCTGAAGTGAGAAGGAAGATGTGTTGTTTCCCCCTTTAACACTGTTAGATATATGAGGGAGAAAAATTACTGCAGCTGGCACACATTCTCGGATTCATTAGTAGAGTGAAGACTCATCACTGGATGAAGTATTTCACTCTCAGCCATGCAATGTTTCTCTGTGTTACAAAATAACTTGAAAATTGAGTGCAAAAAGGAATCGGTGCAAATCAATTTCCTGCTGTTTTAGGTGGTAAATGTGTTTGTTCTGTCTGTTCTAGACTTTCAACGCTCAGTACCTTAAGCAGCCAGAAATCATTGTTAAAAGCCTTGGACGGGTTCTTCAGTTGCCAATAACCTGATGGTTGTGCTATGAGAAGCAGCGTTCGCACTCCTGTTTGGTTTGTTACGTACAGTGAGCAGGGGAGGCGACAGTACGAGGTTTGAGAATTGTGTGTTTGGCAGATTATAGAGCTAATCCATTTGTTTGAAGTGGAAAGCCTGGGCGCGTGGTAGGGATCAGGAAAGCAGGTGGGACTTTCCAAGGCTCCTGAATGCTGAAAGAGAAGCAGGAATATACAAACGGAGGAAGCAGAGATTCTGTTTTGTTTATTTTTGCCCTTTAAATTCAGTGTGTCTTGCTGTTGCTGGGAAGAAGGAGGCAGTCTTCAAAAGGGCCTCTCCTCTGCTGTTTTCCTATGGCAGAAAGGCTGGCAATGGCACCGTTACGGAAGAAACTGGATAGGAAAGGTGCTGGTCTAGTGGATGACGTACCAGAAGAATTTAGAATCCTGTTCATTGGACTTGCTTAAGTCACTTACTGTAGGCTGGGCCTCGTGCCTTTTTATCACAGATGTGGCTATGGCATCTCCATATGGGCTGGAGGGATAAAATTAAACTAAAAGGATGCCTATAATGGATAACAGTCGTATAGCTATAGTTGCTGAGAAGGTATAGCAAACTTTGTGCATCTGATGTGTGTCCCAAGGTGTTCATGTCATCTCAACTCTCAGCTCCTCATCTTTGAAGAAGATGGATTCCTGGATTTTTACTTCTTACTATGGTACATGGCATGATTTACACATAATTCTCTTGACTGCCTTGTTTTCATTGCTACATGTCCTCTGCTCAGCTCACGTGCTGGTGTCAGAAAACTCTAGCCAGTTCTACCTCGAGCAGGATGTTAAGGATACTTCCAAGTGTACTCTGACCTTCCTTCTTGGGTACCACATGTACCCAGAGGTTTCCAACCCTCCTACTAAAAATAACATCATAGCTTATTCCAGTTACAAAAAAGGCTTGTGTGGCTAAGCTTCATATAAAGATCCGCTTTCCAAGTATCCCTTTCTCTTTGTGCCAGCCTGTGTGATCTTTGGCTGAACTGCCTTGCAGAAGGCGGCAATAAACTTTTGAGGCAGCAAATTTTCATCTCTAGTTTGCCTGGCTGCAGGCTCCAGACTTCAGTGCCTGAGCTAGAAATAGCTTGTAGATCTGATCTGGAGGGCAGGTGGGAGTCTCTGCAGAGATCTGTGGGCCATATGGATATTCCAGTTCTGCACAGAGTGAATGGCTCACGGTGGCTTCAGGCAACTCACGTGATGTCCTTGCGCTTCAGTAAGTCCACCTGGAGTTCCTGGCTGAAAATTAATTGCTGTCTGCTCAAAGATGTCTTGGCTTAATAATTTCTAGGAAGGAAATGGGATGTGCTCAAACATACATCAACCCTGCTGTGCAGAACCTTGATGGTTTATAGAAAACTCTTCCTCATGCATTGTATTTTCTATATGGTAGTTGAATATAACCCAGTGTAAGCAAAAAGCCCAAACACAAAGCTTCTTCAAAGAGCATGTGTTGGTATAGGTATTTCTGTTAATAAAAGAGGTCATCTGCTCTGGAGCCGAGTAAAGATGAATGGCTTAATCTTTCCTGAACATAAAATAAATGCTAATTTATCTAGGTTTTCAGGGTTTATAGGGAAAATGGAGCTAGATGTTGGAGTAAGCAAAACATAGATAGCACTGTTCCTATGGCACCTAAGAAAGTGTATGCTGTCTACTTTGAGAAACGATATGGCACTGAAGTAAATGAGCGTTAAACCAAAATTTACATTTCTATATGTGGGTGGAAACTTACAAGTTTAAAATGTTGCAGTAATGGGAAGTTTTGCATGAAGTTTTTACAACTTTTTGTTTCCTTCAGCTCTCCCCCCTATTACACTCACCTAGGTATTTATAAAGATGCCATTTTACTTGATGCTCTTGGTGTTTCCTTCACTTTCTGTTGACGCTAGTGAATATTGAGTGTACCGAATTAAGGTTTTGATGTGTAGGTGGAAGTAATTATCAAAGTATGTTGTAGGGCAGGTTAAGAGAAGGAAAACTTGTCTTCCTTGAATGAGTAACTGGCTTGTCTTCTGCTCCATTTATCATCTTTCATTTTCTGTTAGGTGTTAGAGGAGTAACATCACCTCCACGGTTAGAGTCAGCACCTATGGGCTTGTTACGGCAGGGCTGGCTTCTTAGTTTTCTGCTTCTTTCACTGCACAGGAACGAATGAAATTGAATCCCCACGTGACTCCTGTGTTGTAACTGGGCAGTTACACAACATGTTAAATGGTGTTGAATGGTGATGGTGTGTTAGAACAAGCTCTGTTGTGGTCTTCTACTCGGTCCTTAATTGTTGGTGATTAAAATGTCAGTCATGTCTGTAAGCAGACAGACTGTTTGCTCTGCGTTGACTGCTGGTGATTAAGACGTCCGTGCCCGCTGTACGCAGCCGGGCTGCTGTGCAGCATGCCCTCCCTGGCTGCCTCGTGGCTTCCCAGCAAGCCTGCGTCTGCAGGTCTCGCAGCGTTTCCTGAAGATGAGGTAGAAGAGCATGGCACTACATACGCAAAATGATTTACTCAGAAAAACAGGTTGTGTGCTTGGGATACAGTCCTCATCTCGTGCTCTGTCGGTTTGGTGCTACCTCACTTAGGGCGTTTACTGCTTTGTTGTATTAGTACAGTAAGTGATGCAACTTTGGCAAAAGCTTGGATAATTATTTAAAACTTTGATGTACATGCTGTACTTGGTTTTCCAGCAGCTTAAACGCCTGTCAACAAGTGTTTTCTTCTCTAGGGATGGATGAATGAAATTTATAATTATGATCCAGAAACATACCATGCTACGTTGACTCACTCTGTCTATGTGCGACTCGAAGGAAGCACCTTAAGACTTTCAAAACCTAATAAAAATATTTCTAGAAGGGCTGTGTACAATGAGCCAAAGCCTGAAGTCACGTACGTCAGCCAGAAAATTTATGAGCTTACAGAGAGCAAGGTGAGTGTGCCTTACTTATGTCTGATTTTAACAAAGAATACTTTGAAATGTTTGGTTTTTCTTTTTAAACTTCGAAAATTCTTTTCACTCCTCTAGATTCATGTGCTGTCATTCTGTAAACAAAACTGTTGTCGTGACTAATTTGCAAAAGATTGTGCTGGGGAGGAAGACTGAACAGATTTAGAGAAAAATACATATTTACACAGTAAAGGAAAAGCATGATTTTCCTCTGTCAGTTCAAAGCAGAAGTTAACACGTGGGACTTTAGAGAATTGTTGCCTATACATTAGATTACCGCATGACTGTTCTGAAGCTTACACCAAAATGCATCATCTCAGGTGGTTGTCTCTATCCAAAGGCCGTTCAGACAACACTTGCATTTCACTTGAAGGAGGGAAGTACGTTGTATATGGATGTAAAAGAGGACAGCAAGAGGTGACTGGAACAGACACGACTTGCTCTTGGTACCCACTGTCTAGGGAAGGAGATTGGGATTTTTGCAGTTGGAACAGTGAATCAAGAATGATGCTGGAAACAGGTTTCCATGTTATTTGCCTCCCTCAAATCTGTGAAGTTACCATGTGAAGTTGATTCCATTGGCATTTTACTAAGTAATACATCAATATCCCATCATTAAAAGAATGTTTTTTTTTTATGTGCTGCATCAGTAGAGGGCCTTGGCAGTACAGCTGTAGGAGGAAACTACCAATTGACTGTGGAAGTTGGGGGAGAGAGGGACCAAGGCGACAGTCAGGAAAACCTCCCTTTGTATCCCTGAATCGTATGGGAAAGGAGCTTGCTGTCAGCTCTGCTTTCCATTAAAAGAAGATGGTGAGAAAGATAAAACAAAAAATTAGATTGCTGCCTACTGCAGATTTGTTTTCCCGTAACGAAGACAAGCAAAGCTGTCACATGCTAGAAGAGCACTTGACTGACAGTTGTTCTCCATGGTGTCTTAGAAAAATTTCCAGTACTTCCCCTTTCCCCCACCCCCAATTGGTCGCATGGTGCTGGGTTCCCTGCGTGTAATAAGCAAATCATGTCTCTCCAAGGTATTTACCCACAGTTTTTGGAGAACACAGGTAAGTTCAGTCCTTAGATTAGAATTTTTAAGTCTTATTACTCTTCTCATCACTTGCAGTGTTTCAGTTCTCTCTGAATGTACTGGATTTGGAACAGAATTTATAAATAAAGGAATAAAATAACTTTTATTCCTTGATTCTCACATACTTGATGTGACTATTACCAAGTTCAAACACTCAATTTCATGAGGTGGGCCTGAAAAGTTGAGTTTTAAAACTCAGTTTAGATTCTCATTGCCTATTGGCACAGAAATAAGGTTCTTGTTTTTTCTGGTTTTTTCTGCATAACTATGAGAATAAGATCTTTTAAATGAAAACTGAGTTTCCTCACGTGACTGTAGAAGTCTAAGCTGCTTGAATGGTCCTTGTTTTAATTCCAAGGCTATGGCTCGCCAAGGACGTAGTGACAGCAGTGGACCAGACATCAACCAGCTATAAGTTGAGTCAGTTAAACCCAGCAGATCCAATGTAGGATCTGTATCTCTCGTGTTCCTATGTTCTTTGTGTGACTAAAGAAACGTAGAAGATACAACTGAAAAATAAGTTAATTTAACCCTTCAATTTATCCTTCAGATTTCCCTGGTTCCTCAGAGTCTGGCACGAAAACGGATTTGGAATAAGAAGTACCCAATTTGCATTGAACTTGCTAGACAGGATGACTTTATGGCTAAGGCCCAGACTGATAAAGAGAATACAGAGGAAAAGTTATCTGCTGAAAAAGTGGACTTGAACAATGAAGAAGCCAAGAAACCTCAGGATGGAGCAAAGTACACTAGCCAAAAGGATCAAGTGCTTTATCTCTTTGGAAGGACAGGTAGGGAGAAGGAGGAATGGTTCAGAAGGTTTCTTCTCGCATCCAAGCTGAAGTCTGAAGCAAAGAAGCTATCCAGTTTATCTGGGAGCAAGCCAGGTATTCAAATTTTGTATTCTAGTAAAAGCATCTATTAAAAGAAACAAACCATAGTTACGTTTTCCCAGTGGTAGTTATAGCAACTGTGGAGCCATAGTGATCTTTACAGACAAATAATACTGAAGACACTCTTCTGCTCCTTATCTTGGCCTCTCATTCCCACCTTCCTACCCTGCCTTTTCCTCTCTTGGCTGTATGACCTCAACTATTCTTACTATTTTTAGACTTTTATGTGAATACACTATTTTTCAGTGACTGTAACAACTCTGGTAATTTTTGTTAGGATGAATTGTTTAATTGTTGTTTTTTTTTAGTCTGTACTGTTGGAACTGTTGTCAATATTTGCAGTATTAGACTCAGTCCTCTTGTTACCCGTTCTTCTTCCTCTATCCTTCCACTCCAGTGTCCTGTAAAGACTAAAAAGCTCTCTCATGGGTTAATGTCACAAGCAAACACATTTTAGTGTTTAAATAAAAAGTTCTGTGCTAGTAATATATCTGAACTAACAAACATGTTAGTCTACAGTATTGATCAAATGTTTGAAATATTAATTTAAAACCATCCTCTGATATAATTTTAAATCTGAATGACTCATGCTTTTCTGTCTTTATCTTCTGAGAAGCTTTTAAAAAAAAATTGGTTAACATCATTATTTCTGGCACATAACTTCTTGAAATGCAAATGCAAAATTAATGGCTAATTAAAATTCTAATAGTTACATTCTTTTGACAGTCCTTTTAATTGTAACAGCCTATAATTAAATTTTTAAAAAAAGTTTAGTTATAGGTACATTTTAATCACATGACTTTTATTTTAGGCATTCCCCAACAGGGCTGTTGGAAATTCTGCCATATGTTATACGTATGTGAGTGTCCATATTTAAATATGCTATTTGATCAGCTGAGTTTTCCAGTCCCACATCCTGCTGAGTGCTGAATCATACCAAATATTGACTCATTTGGGTTTAGGACCACCTAAGCACACAGTAGTGCAATTTACTTTTACCCTTCAAAATGAGAAAGCACTACTCTGGTCTTTTTTCAGAATAAATTATATTTGCAAGCTAACTTTTCCTTTTAAGTGTTTGATCATACACTGCTATTTGACTGTCAGATTCCTTTTCTGCTAAACAGGTATTATTCCTTTCAATTTAGGTATCTTGCCAACCCACAGTAGAACTGATAGTCAATCTGGAGTTCTCACACACAGCCGAAGCAGCAGCAAGGGAAGTGCAGAAGAAATTGCATCCCAGCCGAAGCACAAGGATCTGGCTGGCAATGTGCGGCAGAAAATGCTTCTGGACTACAGTATTTATATGGCAAAGTGTGTTCCCCAGGAAAAGAAAAGCCCTTCAGGTAGTCCAGTCCTCAGTGCAGATAGCAGCCCTACAGCTGTGAAGAAGGTAATACTTTTCCCCAAAAAGATACATTTGAGGTGGTGATATATTTTATATTGTTAACTACTACTTTAAAGATTAGTTATGTAGAAAGAAAACTTAATTTCTTTAACTAAAGGTTGGACCTAAACTTTTTTTGAAGTCCACATGGGTTTTCATGCTTGCCAGTTCCCTGTTGACCATGATTTCTTCTCACTGTAACATACAAGTTTTTCATTGATTTAGTTTGATTTCTTATCTCCCAAGAATGTCTGTGTTTTTTCTGGCTTTTGTGGTGTCTTGTTCCTGAAAGATTGTACAGCTGAAGGTAATATGGCCGTAGATTTTCTTAATTAGTAATGCATAGGTGTGTCCTAAAAACCATTGGTCCTGAAAGAATTTACATCTTATGCTTAAGATTAAAACAAAGCAACCAAAAAAATAAAACAAAATTCCACAAACCTCACTTCCCAATAGTAGTAAAAAGTTAAATTTTTTGGTGTATATTCTAAAGTAGATTGAACTAAAAGCATGTTTTTGAGGTTTGGCTTGTTTAAACGATTTAAGTGGAATTTTTAGTACTTTATAGTAAAATTGATCTTCATTTTCTGCTGATTGTGGGGATCTAAAGGCTGTCTACCATTCCTGCGTGCATCTGAGCACCTGATTGGGACAGAATTGTCATATAACACAAGTACAAGTTGGATGCTGTTTGTAGCAGTTTTTCAGCACAGATAGTACACTATAAAATCTGTTTTCAGCCCACATTTGGCTTCGCTCATGCACTCTGGATCACATGAAGCAGTGCTTTTTTCCCTGGAACTGAGAACTGGTTTTCTGTTGCGTGTTTCAGAAAGCGCTTAACCTCTTCAGTGCTTCTCAAGAATTTTGTCCTGGCCCTGTTGCCATGCACAGGGTTAGGAATTTGCCTTTAGTATGTATCTGATGTGGTCCTCTGGCTGTGGCTTGGACAACAGTGGGACCATTTTTACTGCAGTGTCCCTGCTGCTTGGGTTGATTTGGGGACAGAAATGGAATTGGTTCTTGTATAGACTACAGCTTGATTTGGACAGTCTTGCTCAGTAAGACATAAAGCATGGATGAATGGATCGTATGGTTTCCATTTTTTAAATATCTTTTAAAGCACTACTAAGTGGCTGATGTGTTAGTATTGTGTAGTACATAGCAGCATAATAGTGAACAATATCTATAGCTCCGACTGATCCTTTGGCTTCTTGGACTGCATTTGAATCACTCTTAATAAACAGACCCTTAATATTAAGTATGACACTCTTAATAAATGGATCCTTAACGTTAAGTATGATTACCGTTAATTTAAAAACTGTAATTCGTGTCATGCATCTTTGTTGCCAGACTTTCATACAATGTCCAGAAAGGAGCAGGAGGCCATGGGATAGCGTGCAAATAAATATACCTTGTGTGCCCCCAGCAAAAAAAGATACTCTAGCCTCTGACAACGCCTGAAGCAGTGATGAATTTGCTGCTGAATCTGGCACGTGTCAGAAATCATTCTATAAATAGATGAACAGCGCTGGCAGGAAACGTGCGTCACAGCAGAAGCTACTAGCCCAGCAGTTCTGCCCGCGTGAGGCTGCAGCCTCTGGGAGCACTCATTGCCAAGAAGTGGTGTTCAGAACTGTAGCATCTACCTGACTCCTCTTGGAAAGCACTCCTTTTCTGCTGGCTTCAGGACTTCTACCTGTAAATAGTGAAAGGCAAATTCTCCTTTCATTGCAGGCAGCTGAGAGACATTAACTGTGTTGTCTTTCCTTCATGGAAACCTCCTGGTTTTAATGAAATATGTGATAGCATGTACACACCCAAAATTATTTCAGCTGCCTTTGCTTTAATGTCTGTGGTCAGTGATGCAACATCTGAACATAGATCTCCAAGTGTTTTGAAACCAAGACATAATCCTCTTGGACTGTAATCAAAACCTTTAATGCAGCACAAGGAACAATATGGTTTCCTGAATCCCATATACAAACACTGGAAGGAAGAATTCGTTTCCCTATACTGCATTTGTTTATCATCTATTTGTGATGTTTCTGAACGGGATTGAAGGATGTAAGATTGGGTCTTGCTTTCCTATTTTTTGATAATACTAAGGAAGAGTAGCTGTTCTTCTAGATCCTACTGGGAAGAGAGAGCGTCTCGGCTACAGACACATTTCTAAGTCTGCTCACTCTGGGCTTACATGCTTTTTCTGTCAGAGGTTAAATTACATACAACTTTCTCATTTCATTGACAGAGGTGAATCAATATCTGTGTGGTCTCATTCACTCTGTTGCATGTCAGGATGATGACCAGCGAGCTCATGTCACGCCAGCTGATGTGGTTGTAAATCTGCTAGCTGTGTGGAGCATTTAGTGTTCTTGGCAAACCTGGGTTCTAACACGGAACTTCTCAGAGTAAATGAGGCCTTTTCTGACCATGTTATAGAGCTGAATAACCTGCTCTGTGTTTTCAGTTACCGGATGCCCATGTGGAAGCTGAAGAAGAAGAACAGGAGGCCTGGGTGAATGCTTTGCTTGGAAGAATATTTTGGGATTTTTTAGGAGAAAAGTATTGGTCTGATCTAGTGTCAAAGAAGATCCAAATGAAACTTAGCAAGATAAAGGTAACTAATCTGGAGACTTACACTACACATTTCTTATGGAGGAAAACAAACATACAGTCTTTAAGCTTTGAAACAGTAGAAGAAACACTTACTTCACAGTTGTATGTAAAAGACAAGTAAGTAAATGTGAAGCAGAGTTCCAGTTCAGCTTTGCTATCCATTTCACAGGAGGCTCTCAACATGTTAGCTTTGCTGCTTCAGTTTCAAGTGAACTACAGCTGGATTAACTACTTGTGTCTGAAGTTTTTATGTAAAAAGTAGAAGTATTATTGTATTTACTTCAGGGATAAATAGAATTGCTTATAAGTTATGAAATCTGCTTTGGGAAATAGTAGATTGCCTTTAAGATGGAGGAGATCGGGAAACCACAATTCTAATGTGCTCCTGTTAGCTTCATATAAACACGGCTTGCAGGAGAGGTCAGTGGGAGTAACAGTCAGGGGAAGAGCTGTTTGTGGGGTGATGGGTTATAATTGTGCATCAACTGCCTGAGCTCAAAGGGTGAAGAGAGGAGTGATGCTTTTGAGTGACTTCTGGGTCTTCCCTTTCCGTTCTGTAAATTCTGAACAGCAGTAGTTAATCACAGGGCTGTTTAGCTCCTGATGTTTGGGGAGGAGTTCGCCTGTTCCTAAAGGCAAAGGGAGATGTAGTCTTGCTGACAAAAGCTGTGAAATTTAGCTGCCAGCACCAGCTGTGAGATAGTATTGCTTGTGCTTTGGGAAATAAGCAGTAACCTAATTCTGCCCTGGCTGTTTCCACAGTTGTGACAGCAGGGTACCCAAACATCTCATTGAAAACAGTTTAAGTGGAAAGACTGGGAATGGGAATGGGTGTATTTTTGATAGGTTAAAGCACTGTCTGTTGACAGGAGATCTAATTGATAGAAATTCTAAATACTTACAGTAAATAGATACCTAAATCATCATGATTCTGTGCCTCTGTTATACTAACATTATGACACAGATTTAAAAGCTAATGTGCTATGAAAGAATTTGCCAAAGATAAAAATAGCCGAGATGTTGATATAACTGCAACTATAAAATATGTAACTGAATTTAAATTCCAAAGCAGTCTTTGATGTTTATTCACAGTAAAATAGAGCTTACACTTAATTCTTGAGCTTTTTACTTTTTTTTTTTTTAACTAAAAAGCATGCTGGAGGTTTAAGATCAGCAGCTGAACTTCAGCATAGTTGTGAAGACATTCCAAGTTCAGATGCTGAATGTCCCCCTAAAATATTATTTTGAAACTGATAACTGCAAAATCCTAGAATGGGAACAAATCTGTGTAATGGTATTTTTGTTCTTTCACTGGTGATTTTTCAGCTCAATCCATTCCTTAAGTTTAATGACCTTTCTTCTCTTAGGAAGCAATGATATTTAGTTTCATAACATGGATTTGATTTTTACATTCTGTTCTTTTAGCTGCCGTACTTCATGAATGAACTAACTTTAACTGAGCTTGACATGGGGATAGCAGTGCCGAAGATCCTTCAAGCCTTCAAACCTTCTGTTGATCACAGAGGTAAAATACGTGCTTCCTCTTCTGGTTTTGCCAGGTTCATGCCTTCGTACCTGTGGAGAACAGAATTTTGATCTGTTAATCTTATGGGTGTTTTAATCAGAGGAAGGTATACTTAATAAGGGCTTACTCTGAGGAGCTACTGAGTGGTCTCTATCTCCAATAGTAGTAGCATCAGGCTTGGTATGAACATAATTCTATAGATACGGAAATACGATCGTGTCTTTCACTTGGCAAGAATTACTGAACAGAAACTACAATTTGCATGCGACAGAGATGCAGACCTGTATCTCGTACTGTGTCATGGACTACAGAGAGCAACGTACATCTGCTCAAGACAGATCTGATTCTGTACCATAGCAGAAAACAGATATGTCTCTCTTCAAGAGAAGTTGCCCTGTTCTGAAAACAGTGATTAGGAAAATACAGTTTTAAAACTCAGAAAACAAGAATACAGTGTTGCTTTGAAAAGAAACTTCAAAAATACAGCATCATTTTATGTCTTTAGTATTAAATACGGAATTTTTTCTGAGCTGAATGACTTTCATACTACAGCTTTATGAATCAGAACTGTTTTTCTTTGCTGTTTCTGGCTTGCCTTTGGTCACAGGAGTACATTTGAGGATACTCTTGTCACTTAAGTAGTTTTACAAAAGGACAAACTTGGGTTAAAGTTTTTTAGCTTAAGTATTTGTTCTACGTGCTGAGGAGAGGTAGATGCCATCTTTCTAAGACATGTAATCAGAGCAGTTTTAAATTGTTTCTGAGTGTATTAAGGGTTTCTTAACTTGTCTCCTCTCACTCCATTCATTCCTTTAGTTACCATGTTGTTTCAGTGGGCTGGAGAAGTGAAAGACAATTACTTAACACAAGGTGGAGAAGTTTCTAATTGGTCTAAAGGGAGATATTTCCTTGGAGGACCTGTTGTTGTGCAGCTATGGATTGCATGGCAAACGACTTATTTTTGTTTTAAACTGCTATTCATTCATTCACTTTATTCTTCGATGAAGGTATCAAAATAATTTCTAGATGATGCTAAAACCAATAAACTGGTAGTGAGATGGTAGGAATTTAATTACAGGCCAGTGATGAGCCGAACTGCAACAAGTCTCAGTAGCATATTTAGAACAGTAACAACAAATGTGGTCAGAGCAAAGTTTGAACAGATAACTAGCTGAAAATCGTAAGAGGATTAATCTTCACTAGCTCTCCTGTGCAGTGTTTCTAAGTGAGGAACAGACTATTGTGTTTCTTTACATCTTCTCAGAGCACGAGGGTATTGAACACACAGCAGGTATACAGTACCATGTCCTTTGTTGCAGTGCTGGTTGGAGGAGATTGCAGTGCTGAACTGGGTGGGTTTGAGCGGGGGTTCTGTTCACTGGGGTTGTTTGTGTTCTCAAGATCTTGGTTCCGCTCACTGTTCTTAAAGGTCAAGCAACAGTGGCTCCCCAGGATATGGAAGTTGTGATAGAATTCAGCAGTGCACAGTATTAGATAATGAGCCAGTTTCTGCTCAGAAGCAATTTAGACTTCATCTTTGCTCATATTACATAGTTTGGACCTGGTCTTTTGAAGGTTTTTAAGGTTTAACTGTAGTTTTGATGCCAGTTTGATGTAGTTTGTCTGCCACTCTTACTACCATGCTCTTCTCCAACTCAGATGAACAGTTATTATCAGACTTTTGTGAGAATACCAGACGCATGAAATTTTGGAGTAAATAAATAAACTTTATCACTAGTATTAAAAATGTTGTCCCACTCAAACCACTCATTGAAAACCTAAGAATGTTAGTAATCTCTAACCTTGCCCTCATAAAAGTGTAAACAAAACAGACTTTGGGGAATTATTAAAATTCTCTTGGACGAACATAACATGTTAACTAATGCTGCCTGTTGTATCCAACTATTGTTTGCCCTTATCTCACTTGAGACTTGCAACTCTGGGGAAAAGCCTTATCTATAAAACACTGGGTACTTCGCTCTCAACTTCTTGAAAGTATGTTTTTCACGGAGCTTTATAAACAAAGTAAGTTGTTGCCATGAGGAACAAAAACTGTCTTTTAAGAGAAATAAAAATTGAATAGCTAGCATAAGCTCATGTGCAGTCAGTATTTGGGTACTAAAACATATTGCTGCTTCTTGTCATATGCTTCCTGCCTGGGACAGCAGGTTCTCCACAGTACTTAGGACATCCTCTGCTGTTCCCAGTAGCAAAGTGGCTTCACTGTTGGTAGAAATTTTATATTGAGTTACAGAAAACAAAGTGAAAATTTCTTAAAATCGTTACATGTATGATGCTTGCTAGGTGGTTTGGTGGTTTGTTTTTAAATGAACTTATGCTTTGAGGTTCTTGTCAGAGTGTTTCCTTTTGCCTAGATTGAAACATTTTTTGAATTCCTTTCTCAGTTCTCATAACATTAGTTGTAACTGAAGACTGTGTTTCTGAGTCATGAGATGGGATTTAGGATACTTGCTGAACACTTGGCTTCAATTAGTTGCCGACAACAGCAGTGAGAACAACTTGTTCAGTTAAACTGCGAGAAGCAAACATTTATGGTGGAATTTGTAATCCTTGTAACTTCTTTCATATTGTTGAATGACATGTGAACTCTTAGTATTTGAGTTTTTAAGAGTTTGCAGTTAATAATTGCTGAAATAAGTTATTTTGCTATTGTACTTAAAAGGACATAAATGAATAATGATAATTGGGAATGCTTGTTTTCTTAGGGATAAATGTATTTGTTGGTAAGTTGACCTATGAATAAACCACACATGGGGGGGAAAAAAAAAATACTAAAGCTTCAGGCTAGTATCCAGAATGAACACTTTAAAGAATTTATTTTTCTAAACTGAGACAATCAGTCATTTGAGGCAGCCTTTTGTGAGGCTTTAAAATGCAGTTACTAATTCTGATAGGCTTTGTTTCATCCATACTTTTTTACCAGTGCTTGATTATGAGGAAAAGATTTTTTTATTATATGGCTCCTCTAAGTAACTAAGTTTGTTAACAGACTATGTTAGGAAAAAAAAAAAAAATCTTGTTTCTGTTAATACAGTCCCATTTGGGTGACAGCATATGCTGTAGTATTTACTGTACTTCTGTCAAGGCTAAGGAACCAGATAACTCTGAATAAATTATACAATTGGCCCAATTCTTCACCCCCTCTCCTTTTCCTACCTCCCTTTTTCCCTCCAGAAAATGCATATGAACAACTTCTAGCCAAGAGGAATTTTCCCTCTTGGTAATGACATCTTTTGCTTAATTTGATCTACTGTTAAAACAATATTGATGCTTGAAGCATGCTGATTCATTAGTTATCCAAAAGGTCTGTTTAGCTGTTTTCTTTCCGATTATCCTACTACTGCTTCATTTACTGTAAAGAGGAAAAAGTCTGTATAAGCTTGTGTTTGAGTTCTTTTGTTTTAGAACAGCATTAGAAAAACTGTAGTATGGAAAAGAGTAATTTGGGCTAGTAAAGAAGCATCTTGCCTTCAGTACTGCTTCCACCATGTAATCTCACAGTGTATGAATGACCTGGTCTTCGGGAGCTGTGTGTATTTCTGTAAATATAAATGCGTGGGACTGGGGGCAATGCCATTCTTCTGACATGTTTTTGCAGAAAAGAAAACAGTTGTTCTTTAACTGAAAAAGTGTATCTTTTTCTAGATCAATCAAGCCCGAAGAGTAGTTACCATTAATTGCTTCTGAATAAGTAAATAAAAGTAGAATGCATTAGTGGTTGATGTGCCAGATACTGGCAGGGCATATTGTATGCAGCTGCAACATCTGGAAAAGGAAGATGCATAATCTATGCTTAGTGCCATCTGATTTCTAATTTCTGGATCACAAATACCCTACAGCTTTTTTTAATCAGTGGGACTGCAGGCTGTCACTTAAGAGGCAGAACCTAATTTTGCACTTATTCCCAAGACAATTCTTTATGTCACTGCAGTAAGAAAATAGACTGCCCAAACAATAGGATTTAACTTAATACTATATGTCTAGAATTGTTCCAAGTAATGACCCTGTTTGCTCTGAGTCATAAGAATGCTTATAGCTGAGTTAGTGAACTCCTTTGTACTTCTTCGATACTCCATTGTCGAAAAGCAAAAGAGACTGCAGGTTGTGATGTGTGACAAGCAATATTGCTCTGGGGTTTCAAGTTTTGCCTTGTTTGGACAGCATAAGTAATAGAGAGGAGCATCCCCATTACTGTTTGGCTTGGAGCAGTACTGTAAATAGTTTTGAAGTGAATTCCTGATTGTATTCTATTTTCTTTATCTCAATTTTGATCTCTTTAAGCACTTTAGGTGTGCATAAATCACACTTTTTTTGTTGTTGTTTTTCGATCATTAACTGTACTCACTGGTCTGTCTTTCGGTGTGGCTTTGATTCATATCTGAACATTCAACTTTGTTCCATTAAGCTTAATGCGAACAGAAAACTTGCTTTGATTAGTTTTTAATTATTTGCGAATTAATGGCATAATCAGTTGACCAAGAAGTAGTTTTTCTCTTTGGAAGAAGTGTGGTGTATAGACTTCTTAAAATGAGTTTTGGCTTGACATTAAAATAAAGTGATTGTGACTATTCTTAAAAGTGACATCGTTGTTGTTGTTGTTGTTGGTTTTTCTTAATTTCAGGACTTTGGATTGATTTGGAAATGTCCTACAATGGATCTTTTCTAATGACCCTAGAGACAAAGATGAACTTGACCAAACTTGGTAAAGAGCCGCTTGGTGAAGCGCTTAAAGTTGGAGAGATCGGCAAAGAGGGGTAAGGTATTACAATGGTAGAATCAAGAGCTTTCATAGTGAAAAAGTGAGATTTTTGCCTTGTGCATACACAGCTCTGGCTCTGCAATAGATTGGAAGGGGTCAGGGGGGTTGCATATGTGTGAGTGTAGAACATGGTCTTTCTGTGCAATTTTTACATCTGATTACACCATTGATAATTGTCTTAACAAAAGACTTTTGTAGTACTATAATTTAAAAAAAAAATTTAGTAGGATTTTAAAATGTTTTGTGACTAAAATTTAGTTTTGTCTTATGCTTGATTTGGGGTCTTAGCCAGTAAGACTTAAGTATCGGAGATACACACAAGCAGGTACAGAGATAGACACGTGTAACATGCCACTACAGCATGGTACAGCTAGAGTTGTAAACCATGTAATAGTAAAAATCTGTGGAAGGTAAACAGGCTGTAATTGTTACGTAGATACTTTTTCAATAGCTTTACTGCATCATGGGAATAATCACACCCCTACTTTAGTCTCCAGTTTTCCTCACTTCTATTTACCTGCTGTGTCTAAGTGTTATAGATGAACTAATTAGAAAATACACATACTGTAACTTACCTAACTTGTATTTGTGCTTCCCCTGTCGCTTTTATGATGTTTGAATTTCGTTAATCTGTCCATTTGTATTAACCTGATGAGTGACACGTGTCAAATATCCATCCCGTCAGCTGTGGAGTGTTGCTTCCCTTTGTGCTGTATTCTCTTTGTACGTAAGAAATCTGCAGTCCCTGAACAGTAGGTGGTCTCTGATTTAGTGTACAACCACTGCCAACAAATCAAGAAAATATTTTCTAAATCTGGCCATTTGTTTAGATATTAATAAAATGTTGTGGTCTTTCAGAATTAAGATACTAGATGCTTTGTATACTCGTGTCGTAGCTTTGACCATTTACTCTGAGAGATCCTGAAGTAATACTTACAGCAGCACTATATTACAGTGCAGTCATGACAAGAAAATAAATGTGAAAAAACTAATGGCTGAATGATCTCATACACTGGTAGGAATTCAGAGAATTTAAAATTGACCTAGATTCTCGTTGCCACTGCTTGAAATAAATACTTCTGAATTTACATCAGTATAATTGGTAGGTGTGATCGTTGAAAAATCCCTTTAATCTTGTCAGCCCAAAAAATGGGGGGTAGAGAAGGAAATGTCTGTACAAATCAAGTTCTTGTTTTTCTTCCTTATCCCTTCAGGATTTTCTTTGTGTATTTTTATATCTGTCCAGTGCAAGAATGGCCTCAGGAATAATTAGTGAACGCATCGATTTAATATTTAAAAATCAGCTTGATTCTAGCTGAGCACTAGGCCCCCAGCAACGCAAATGTAAATGTCTGTAGCTAAGCAACCCATTACGTGAAGGTAGAACCATTAACTGTATTGCTCCCTGCACATGGCCGAGACGTTTGACATGCTCAGGGCCAGGTATCATGCCGGCTTTGTGTAAAGAGCAGTCTAATGTATTCTAGTTGGAATGAGGGTTTTTTGGTTGCTTTGTTGTTGGTTTTTTTTCTTAAATACAATGGATATTATAAACAAACAAACAAATTAAAGACTCTAAGTATAGAACAGTTTGGTTCTCATCTATGCTTTCCATTGTGTTAGTTAATTTTACTGTTTTTTTTAATTAGGAGTTGACAATCGCTGTAACAAACCAAGCTATTCTGCATGCGCTTGCATCTACCATCGTATGGTCTGTAAGCGATGCATGTTGGTTGCTTACGCTCATTCCTGTCCCTTAAGAGCCTAGAACAATCCACCCCTTGAGATGCAGTAACCACAGTCTCATTTAAGAAAGGCCTCTACTCATCCAGAAAGAGGAGGGTGGGGGAAACAGCACTGAGTTTTAACTGTCCTTGGATATCATCAGTGTAAAGCGAGACAAATGGTTCAATGTTGCAGTTATTCTATCGTTGCTGCTGCATTACTCTTTGAAATAGAAGTGAAGCGTGCTCTTACACAGTTTGATAATGCTGTCTTGCACTCCCAGGAAAATGTAGCTCTCAAAAAAGGGTGGAAAACTATTTAACTGCCAGTTTTATAAAATTAATACAGTAGGAGGTTCTACCATACCAGAGCTTAGGCAAATGCAGGCAGGCTAACCCAAATTTACCGCAGTTTCTTACCCCATCAGTCCTTTTTGCTATGTTGTACCATGTAAAAGCAAACTGACAAGTGGCAATTCATAAAATACTGTGCAATCTGCTCAGGAACAATACTGTAGCCCCAAAGTGTTTTTCTGCCAATGCTTGTGTCGTATAAATGGTCCATTGTATGCAGAGATCCCCTGAAATCTCACTCAAGGTTATTTATTGTTGCTTTGTTTAATGCGAGGAAATCTTGTGGTCTTAGCCAGTCGGTGCATGCTTGTGGAGGCTTTTCAGAGGGTCCCATTACCTAGGCAAATAAAACACCTTCTTGCAAAAAGGTGACACCTTTGAGAGCCTTGAAAATGCACTGGGCATGCTTGGAACTGGGTAGTATGATGTGCACAGGAAAGTGAAGTGAGGTGACACCCAGGTAGATACGTAGTTTGAATCTGACCTAAAAACATGAACTTGGTCACTGAGAGACAGCTCCAGCATTGCTATTTGGGCCAGTGACATGAACCATCCACCACCCGCTAAGTCCTCAGGGAGGGGGTTCAGTTCGATGTGCTGCTTCACTCTTCCGCCGGTACCAAATGCATCTCTGGGTAAGAAGAGGTTTATGATTCTGATTCCATAGCCTGGGTAGCAAATTCTTCAGTGTAGAGAGGTCATGGGATTACTGCTCCAGCTCTTAAATAGGCAGTTAGGAAGGAGTGTTGTGCACCCTGAGCTGTACTTGAACTGTCCTTTTACGTTAGGGCTTCATGCAGCAACTAACAGTTTGTTCTAGGAACAGAATAGCAGGCAGTAGCCTCAGTCCATGCCCTGTGTGAGGTTATTAAATGCTGCAAATAAATTTCCAAGAACATACACACAAAAAGAAAGAAAACGCAGCAATAAACTGTATTCTGAACAAGCAGTAGAATATTACAGTCCTGGGTATAGTCCCTAGGGCTAAAATCATGTACTTTCGAAGCTTGTGTTGTGTAACTATTTCAAGTTCTTGCATTTGGTAGAGATCTGTTAACAGTGAAGCGTATCCTTCCGTAATTTTAATCCGTTTAAAAGATTTGAATTTTTTTCTGTGATTGTCCATAATTAAAGTCTAGGGAACTGTTACTATGGTGTGATATTTTGTACCCTAAGAGCAGCACTTGTTTGATTTTATTACTTCACTTTTTTCCCCCCTTCTCCCCATGACATTCTTCGCCTTATTCCATCTTGGACTCACTTCAGAAAAAAAAACCAAAACAAATCCTTAAATCCTGTAAACATCATTCACTGTGTCAGAGGAGCTTAAAAATTCACAAGCCCGAGGGT